GACATAAATCAAAAGTTTTGAAAGTATTTGCAACATTTATTTTAGTACTTGTACCTGAGAAAATGTAATCTAAAGGAATAATTTGATTTATAAAGCCTTTTACAAAGCAAGCCCAGAACAGCCAAGGCTACATAGTACACAGAGAAACCCTGTTTAGAAAAACCAACCAACCGACAAAACAAACAAAGACTTTTGATGAACACACATACTCGTGTCCTTTAAACCAGGAAAAATTGAAATAATATCAATAGCACAAAGTAGAATAATTAAGTATGGTAAGATTAAACGTGAAAAATCAGGTTGGCATCCTGCACAATGTAGCCTCTCAATAATGACAATGCCCTCTAAGACTCTGAACAAATCCAGGAAAAGACAAGTGTTATTCACAATTAGCCTTTAGTCATCTGACAGACTGTGGCATTACTACACACTGTCTGGCTTGGAGAGCCTAAATGGACCCTATAAGGTGTTCTCTCATGTATTTCTAAGCAAAAGAGTACATTGTACATCTTAATGTGTGTAAAAGTAGGCCATGGAGAACTTGACCACTCAAACACTTAGTCCTTTTGCAAATCCTTCCTTCAGCCTAGTGCAGTCCGTTTGTCCTTTATCGACACTGTATCTGGGACTATGGCATACTCTTATTTTTTTCTTGGGCTTCTGTCAGTTGCAGTCTGTGCTCATTTACTTTGGATTTCTGCTTTGTATATTCAGCTGCATATCACAAGGAAACCCTCTTGATAGGCTCACTTTTTCCTTTTCAAGATTATCCATATTTTGCTTTCAACTCTTCCCTGCACAAAATTAGTTTCTTGATAAATATCTAGAGGTGAAACAATAATCAAATAAAGAAAATAAAAGGCGAACTGATATTTGACTTGTAGATTATAAAAATAGAACCATGTCAGAAGCACTGGAAGAATTAGCATGAACCCCCCCCCCCCAAGGAAAAAACCCTGAAAGCAGAAAGAGAGATTAGGACTCAGGATGTTTTGTCTTGTTCTGGACTTTGCTCTCAGAAGGAGAGAACCCAGGACAAGAGAAAATGTAGTTGAGACAGTTCCCTGTGGGAGCTGAGATAATCCGTAGAAGTTCAGACAGCTGTGATGACAGCATTATGAAAGAGGCTGCAGTTGGGCAGTTATGAGACGCTTTATAGGTGAAGAACATTAGTGAAAAGTAACTACAGACTACACTGACAAATGAAGTGAACCACAGTTTTGAAAGCATCCTTGGAAATGAGTTGTATTCACCTGTCAATGGAGAGAGTAAAGCTGAATGGATAAATGGTTGCACCTAGGTATTACAGTTAGTATTAGAGATAAACCTATACTTACAGGTACAAAACGACGCCTCCATCCCTCCAGGTCCAGCGTTTGGTATGGCATTAACAACAAATATCAGTTGACTTCCAGAGTCCAGGATAGCTAGGGAGTTAGAATTGCAATAAAACTGATCTTTTAAAAAATGAAGATGTGTAGGTGCTTTTCAGTTGGGAAAAATAGTATTTATTAGCGCCTTTCTTCAATTCTGATATACCTCAGCAGTTTTCATTTATCAGATGATTATTTAGGACACATTTGAATCGCAATAGTTGTAATATACATAGTTTAATTAAAACATCAACTTTTCATTTGCTGAAAGTGATGCCACTGTTAAATCATAGATGCTAACATCTTCTTAGTGTGACTTGTGAGAAAAAGGACAGTATTCAATTGCTGTCAGATGTACCAAAAAGAAAAAGAAAAACATAATTTAGGGGAAAGAAGAAACACACAGTATTATTATAAGATAAGAAATGAGGAGAGACATGGTCCTGAGAAAAGAAAAAGTAAGGGGCCGGAGGAGAGGAGAGGAGCAGAGAAAGATAGGAGCTTTCCAGTCAATATATATAAGAAACATATGGAAATCCTTGTTACAGCTTTGGAATTTAGGTTGGGCTAATTTTGCTCATTTTTGACTTCATGTTAGTCTATGCTTTCTGCTTAGAGCAGTAGGTTTGTTCTGAGCAAGATTAGGTACGTGTAGGCATATGGACCTACAAGCAAAAACCCAATTACAACAATCAAAATGATACCACAATGGTTGTCTCTCTTTTGTTCTTCTAATCTTTTTCAATCTCTTCTATTTTTCTATGTTCTTGCTCATCCTGGGGAATAAGTGGTGGAGTGGCTTCAATTTCTAGTTGTTTTTTTTTTTTTAATAGATCAAACTGTACCATACATCTTCCTTTTTTTCTTCTTCCTTCCCTGCATATTAATTATTTATTAATAATTAACATATTTATATCATTTATAGTTAATTATTAATTATAGGACAATTATGACATAGAATCCACTTTTGGTGTCTTTTATATGTAAAGCAAGATATAAGTCAAAGTTGACGTTTTGCATACAAAGGCCTAGTTGTTCTGGCAAAGCCTGAAGGGAGAACACTTGCCTCAGCACATCTGTGAAACACTAGTTCAGTGTCTCTGTGTTTCTAAACTCTGTTCTGTTTTATTGGTTAGGTTTTCTCTCTTTACACCAGTATTATAATTTTGATTTCCACGACTTTGCAATAATTCCTGAAAAAAGGTAACATTTGCTCTGTAACTATTTTTTTTTTCTAAAGATATTTTGGGTCCTGATAAAGTTTTTCTTCTGCACTTTGATATGAATTTAAGAAAGGGCCTGACAGTTATGAAAAAAAATCTTACTGGAATTTTATCCTGAAGACTGAATAATTAAGTTCTTTTTGACAGATTAATTTAGTCAGACTTACAATCTTAGCTGTTTTCTTATTCATGAACACAATGTCTTAGTTTATATTAGCAAAACTTTGCTAGTTTTCAATTTTTCATGCATTTCGTTATAAATAGGGCAAATGTTTTAGATTTGAATGCTACCATGAATAAGTTTATTTTCTCAATTAACTTAATGGCTATTTGACTTTATTTCAATATTTTGAAACACATCAATTTTGAATATTAATCTCATAACTGGCAAACTTTCAAAAGCTGCTTCTGAGTTTTAAGAGATTTTTCAAAATGTTTTGCAAATATGTAGGTCATGTAACCTGTAAACAGAGCGATTTTTTAAATGACATTCATCCTGATCTGCATGACTTCAGTATGATTTTTTCTTGCCTGATTACATTGGGCGTCATTTCCAGTATAACTGAGTCTGAGTGATGAGAGTGGATTTCCTCTTTTTGTTCTCTTCCTGATTTTAGGGAAAAGGTTCGTATTCATTCAGAGCTAGCTTGCTGTTTTCCGAAGGCCTTGAGGGTCTGTTGGCTGAGTTTAAAACCATAAGTAAAAGCACATGTGTTTTCTATGCCATGCGCATCTATCTGCATCACTTCAGGATTTTAGTTTTCACATTTTATTCTAATACACTTATTCAAAAACTAGTTTCACCTTTTTTCTTGAAAGAAAACCACTATCACTTTTCATAATTGGAAGGCAGCATTAGGATCTAATTAAAAAAGAATATTGCTGAAGTTTAGTAACTGCTTTAATTCTGGAGGTATTTTGCAGTCACATTACAAGGCATATTCAACAAGTGATGAAACATTTCAAGACACTTTTGCCGATCTAAACTGTTTTCTTTACACGCCCATTTTTTTTACACGAATAGGAAAGGGGGCTTCCTATTATTATTCATATTTTTATGTCTTATGTACCATTAAAACCCCACCTTTTGTGTGCTGGCTTTTAGTTCCACAGCTGAGACTCACTAGACCTTAGGCAGATTTGAAAACATTTGGTTATCTCGGGTATGGTAGTTCAGGCACTGATTGCAGATCACCATCGCCACGACAGTGTAAGATTCACTACAAGAGAATCAGATCACTTGGAATGGCATAACCATATGTTTTTAAAATTCCCAAAGTCATTCCAGTGCTTATGTCTCAGTTAGAGGATGTCTGTATGCCCAGGAGGTGAAGTGTGGTGAAGCTTTGGAATGGGCAGGCAGGGGTCATCCAGATTGTCCAACCTGGAAGGATGGTGAATAATTAAAATATCATGACTATTCGCCATTTATTTTTAGGGCCAGGGTATGAATACCTGTTAAAACAGTTGGATGCTTTCATAAGGACCTTGCAGAGTGCTGACTCTTCACTTCCTGCAAACAATCATGACTTTTATTTTGCTTCAAAAGCTCCTGTGGTTTAGAGGCAATATGATCTCTTAACAATTAAAGCCTTTAACTGTATGGTTCAAGAACGCCTTTTGAAAGCATAAAGACAGATCTTCATGGCCTTCCTCAGTATTTCACAAGAGAAATGTGAAGTAGTTTTGAGAGAGCTTAACACAATTGCTACCCATAAATAGTTCCAAAGAGATTCATAGTGACCTTAGATAGCAAACGTTTTAAACATACTCTCCTCTACAATCCACTTGTGCACATGTTAAGTAAACAGAAAGCACCTTGGCTCTGTTTATACACTCTGTGGAAGCGGTCTCAGGAGCTATTTAAAATAGCTTTTCTGTGAGCAGCAGCCCACAGTCTTCCAGGTTGTGTTGTGTCTCTTTGTCACTCTGTCTCTGTGTCATATTGGTTGGTCTCTTGAAGACTTCATCTAGGGAAGGGAAAGAGGAGATGTTAGGTCGTGGGGGTTTCTTTTTTTCCTTGTGAACCTTTCAGTCTCACCAGGACAATTTCTAATCTGTCCCAAAGCCCGCCTCCCATAAAGTCCCCATTCTCCGCCTCAGGCCCTCCTCTGGCCTCCTCCCTTGGCCAGCCAACCTGGTGGGCGGGGTGGCCCTCCAGCCTGGCAGAGCTCAGGACCCTGCCCCCGCTTCTGGACTCAGAGGCTCATTGGCTGGCTTCGTGGTCTGTCCAGTTCTTGAGGTCCTGGACTCGGCGGTTTCTTGTTCTGGGCCAGGAGTAAACTTGTGGTCCCCGTGCAGAGCCGGACAGCAGAACCTAGGCGGGTTCTTAGCCCGCATCTCCACCGGGTAGCCCTGGATAGCGCCTTCGCAGGCCTCAACTCTTCAAAGGCACCTTCTCAGAATGGAGCAGTTTCCTTTCGGTCGTAGGGACCACAGCGGCGGCTGCCGACCCCACCTGGCCCCGGGGCTGCGGGCCGCTCCTTCTGCGTCGGCCCCGCGGCCTGTGTCGTCGGGGGTCCCGGTGTCTGCGGCTTTTCTGCAGCCTCCTGGTCTGATTCTGCGATCCACCGCGGGCGCGGTTCGCGGAGGATGCGCTCCCGGCCCGGGGCTGGATAGGGCGCTGGGGGCGGTGGGCTGCGGCTACCCGCGGACCCCGAAGTGCGCCCGCTGTCGCAACCACGGTGTGGTGTCGGCGCTCAAGGGCCACAAGCGCTTCTGCCGCTGGCGGGACTGCGCGTGTGCCAAGTGCACCCTGATCGCCGAGAGGCAGCGCGTCATGGCCGCGCAGGTGGCGCTGCGCAGGCAGCAGGCGCAGGAGGAGAGCGAGGCCCGCGGGCTGCACCGCCTCCTGTACCCCGGGCCGTCGGGGCCCGGGGCTCCGGCGGCGTCGGGAGGCAGCGGCAGGACTGAGAGTCTCCAGGTCGTGCGCAGCTCTGGGGCTGTGGCTATGCTGGGAGCGGGGGCCTCTAGGCACCCTGGGAGCCGGGCGGTCCCCGCTTTCGAGGTTTTCCAGCAAGACTGCGCGGAGGGAAAGCAGGGTGAGTCCTGTTCGGTTTGCTTTTCGCGTGAAAGGAATGACTGTTCTGGAAGGGTGTGGAGAGAGGAGCAGCAGCTCCCCAAAGGTGGGCAGAGGGTTGTTTGAAAGAAGCGCCGAAGTTCAGGGAAGTGGGCATGCCGCGTGGTTGGCTACCGGTGAGACAGGTACCAGGCTTTCACCAAAGAGCTGTTCCAGGTAAATAAAGACAATGAAAAAGTGACGTTTGGGTGCTGCCAGCCGCGGACCCGTCCTGGGAACGGACTGAGGCACAGCGGGGCTTTGAGTTTGTGTGGTCAGGACTTAAGCGGGTGTTGAGAGAGAACTTGAGCGAGTGTGCTTGTTCTCTTTCCATTTGTGAAACCGCAGTGATCTTGCACGGGAAACCCGTTGATTGTGGTTGAGGTGAAGTTCTTTGACTTGGGGACAAGGTTTTCTCACCAGCTAGAACTTAAGAAACTCCATTGCTAACTAACATGCCTCTCCTCCGCGACACTGCCCCCCACCCCCCACTGTTTTAATTCTTTAAGCACAATTTCCAAAGGCGTGGAAAGCTTTAGGGACTGAAGTTTAGTTCCCATTGGAAATAAGTTCAAGCCTTCCAGAGAGTGAAACCATTGGCAACGATGTCCGCTTACAGCCGTACGATCTAAACTACCACAGTAAGTTTTAGTATTTCCAAGTAGTTTCTGGCTGCAAAATTATGGTCAGTATCCCCTGTTCGGATTTGCAACCAAAACGGCCCCCAAAATAACTTTTCCTGTAATAGAAATGTCATTGTGATTTCATGAATTTCGCAGCCCTCCAAAGGGCCGATGAGAAATGAAAAATTCCTTCTAATCTCTTTGTTAACATCTCAAACAGGTTGTATCACATGAAGTAATGCAATAACCAGGCTGTGCGTTCTTAATTAGAAACTTTCCTTGGTTGTGAAAATCGCGGATCTCAGCAAAACAGATCAAAATCTTGAAAGACGACCATCTCTGTGTTGGAAATTTGCGTTCACTTACGTTAGCTTTTGACATATGCTCTAGTTTATTTCAATAGACTTTAGGCGTTTCTCATGGAGAGTGTGATGGGAGACATTACAAAACTCTCTTCCAAAGAGAGGCAAACACTGGAGTTTCTTTATATACACTGCTACTGAGATTTGGCTGGTGGAATGGATTTATGTAAGTTTTTGGTGCTAAACTGTACATTTTACAGGTCTAATGATTTTAGTAGATTATTTTGCCACAGTGACTTGCCTGTAAAAAGCAAGCCCATATTTCAAACGCTTCTTGGTTGGCTTTCTGAATTGACTACCCTCCTCTTACACAATATGCATGAAGTATAGTAAGATATTGTATTGAACTTATTCATGCAAAAGACAAAGACCTACAGTTATTGAGAGGTGAATAGGTATTCCCTGTGTAAGAAGAGCTTCTGTTCAGAAGCAGGAGGGCTATCAGCGTTCAGAACTAAAACAAACAATCCCCAGAGGCTGAGAGGACAGAGTTGGAAGGAATTATACCAAGTATTTACAAGAAACCTATTTTCAAGTAGTCACATACAATCACCATTTCTCACCTTTTCCCTTTGTGTTTGTTTTGAGACAGTGTTTCACACTATATCTAGTGGCTTGAAACTATGTAGCTCAGGCTGCCCTTCAGCTCATGGCCGTCTTCCTGCCTCAGCCTCCTGAATACGGGGATCACAGGTATGAATCCCCATGCACAGATTGCAGCCAGTATTTACACACACACACACACACACACACACACACCCTGGGAATTTAACCCCAAAGTAATAAATTATTTTTAGGTACAATGGCAGAGATGTAATTTTGATATTTTGTGCCTTTTCGGTAACAATAGTCAATCACATTTATAAACAAGCGGAACTAAAGAGCAACGGAAATTTATTTCCATGTGGCAAATGTCATCTGACAAATTTTTACATTACTTAAAGTTAAAAACACATTGTTACAACAGTCACAATGTTTTCTTTCATCAAATATTTGGAGTAGTGACTGAGCTTTGACCCCATAGTGTGAAATTGGACATGATTTACATTTTAAAATAAATGGTAGACTCTTATGGAGCATGTTTAGGACTATTTCTTAAAGACAAGGGGAAACATTAAAGAATATTTCAGATCACCGTTTCTTTATTATGTTATATTATTAAACTCGGTAGAGAAAGAAATGTCCTGAAGTTCTTACAGTTTTACCTTTTCAGAGCTATAGCATATGTAGATGACAAGAAAAAAATGAAAAGACAGATAATGTTATTTGGTATGTTGTTTGTTTGTGTGTGTGTGTGTGTATTTGTGCACATGTTTTTAGTTTCCTGATATTATATTGTTTCTACAGGGTCCACCCAGATTACAATCATGAAGTTGTAATTTTCTATTAGGAGCAATTGGTTTCAAAGATCTTTTCTTAACAATTTGTGTAGATTGAAAAAGAAAACGCATTTTCACCAAGAGTTATGGAAAATACCATCATCATTATTACTACTCCTGTTATTATTGCTATCTTTCCCATAAAATGAAGTACCCCAGTCTCATGCAATTCAAGATTTCTGCCCCCAGGGACATCCCTGCTTTAGTTTGAAATGGTTTACAGCCATGTCACCTTGAAGGCACCTGGTCTGAAATACCCACCACAGTTTTTAGGTTACTTAAATAGAACTTGAATTGTAAGTGTTAAAAATCATTTACTGAAATCTTAGCATTAAAATTTAAATAGAATATTCACTTTTAAGGTAACCTTTTTTCTTTTTAATGAGTTCTTATTCTCAGCTACCTGCTTTACTTAGTTCTTTTATGTAAGGTTTTTTTTTTTGGGGGGGGAGGGAAGCAAGAACATCACTTAGATAAAAGCAAAACTTGGACATTTTGGAAAACCTCTAATCCCAAGATGGTGTTACATTGACACTTTTGGGTAGTAATAAACTCTCCTCTTTCAATTCTTAATTTTAAGGGAATTCAGATAATTACTGGATAACCTTATATTCTGAAACACACGAGAAAGAGCACTCTCCGCTTTTCCAGCATGTGTTAGTACTGTGTGATCTTTAAATTGTGACCTTCACGAAGATGATTTTGGGTGAATCAAAATTGCTAATTATATTATACAGATTGAAACATATATAATATTATGAATGAGTGAATTATTTCAGCCATCATCGTCTTTGAGTGGCCATTACTATATTGTGGCAACTTTTTCATACATCTGATTGTTTTTGTTTGTCTGTTTTCTTTTCTGCAGAACCAAAAGAGAGAAACTGTGAGTCGTGTCATAGTAGACATGAAGACCCAGTCTCCAATCCCCATCATTGTTCTCTGGGAACATCTAAGGGTAATGGCACCATCGAGAAACAAGCCTTCATGTCATCTTTTGCAGAACACTCAGACAAATCCACCATCATCCTGTCTCCTTCCCCCACGGAGCAGTCAGGAGGAGAGGATAGTCCCAGGTCCTTCTCTTCCTCTGACCTGGAATCAGGGAATGAAAGCGAGTGGCTCAGAGACTATCTTGCTACCAAAGCCAGACTCTCCACGGTGAACTCAAGACCGCGAGACCCTCTCGGAATTCTCACCAGGATTTTTCCAGGTTACAGGCGTAACCGCCTAGAAGGTATTCTACAGTTCTGCAAGGGAGATGTAGTCCAAGCTATTGAGCATATCTTAAACGGAAAAGAACACAAGCCAGACTGCAGGGACCTCGCACATGCAGACTTGGAAAATGCAGCCTTTCAGAGAGCTTCGGAGTTTAGTCTTGCTGGCATTGGCTTTGGGACTCTTAGTAATAAATCAGCCCTCTCTCCCCTTGAAGCCACGTCTGCTGCTTACGGAGGAGATTCAAGTCTCTATAGTTTCAATCCTAGACTAGCTTTCAGCCCGCTGCGCCTGGCATATTCTTCTCCAGGAAGAGCGCTGTCTGGTTTCGTGTCGCCCTACCTAACGCCTGGACTGGTGCCAGCATTGCCGTTTCAGCCAGCTTTGGATTATGCCTTTCCAGGGATGGTTAGGGAGCAGTCCCACCTTTCCAGCAAGCACTTAGTAACTGGTGGTAGACTTTATTTCAGGCCCAATCAGGAACATCTGTAACACATCCAGTCTACCATTCTGTAGTGTTTCTGTAATCACCCAACCCGCACGCACATGCACACGCAAAATCTGTTAATGTACTTCATTGAGTATATGAGTAGCTTCCCAGTTTAAGTGGTATTTTCTAAGCAGTATAATAGACTTTAAATTTGAAGACTTTTCTTTAGCATTTGTTAAAAAAAATGTACATTATATGTGCCTTGAATAGACCTATTTCAGGAAATAATTTTATTTTAAACTATTGAATTTTCTTCGTAAATTAACACTATTATTGTAAAGCCATACCTGCTTTTTATTTTATTGCAAAGTTTGCTTTATAGTTGTAAAAATTTGTAAAAAGCAACTTATATAGTAGAAAATGAGCAAGGGAGAGGGTTGGGAAGATTGTGGTTATTACTCTAAAAGGAATCCCTCTCCCTCTCTGTCTCTAGCGTCTTTTCCCTTCCCCCTTCTCCTCTTCTGCCACAGGTGAGCAGGAAGTTATTCCAAGTATTTAAAAATATTTTATTTGCAGATAAATGATCAGTAGTACATAAATCTAATAAATTTGAATATATATTACTTTTGGAATGTCTGACTTTTTGCTCTCTAGCTACTATTTGTAAAAAGGAATTTTTTTTGGAAACAGTTCTCTTTAAAGTTAACCTTGTAAACGCACAAAGAACTACTAGATTTTAAGAAACAGGACCTTGCCCTCTTCTGGCCACTATCACAAATTGCAATTCAGTTCTTCTGAGTAAATCAGAAGCACGTGATTTTCTGTCACAGGCTAACAAGTTTATGAAATAACCATTTTGGATCACACTGCATTCAACTCTCATGTTGTGACTTTCTACTGAAGATTATTTTAATTTTTGGGTGCTGTATGTTTCTATCTGGGCAAACAGTCCTTTGTATTTGTTTGAGATAGTAAAATGTCACCCATTCTCAATGGTAAAAAATAATTTTATTCAGAAATTAAAATACTTGCTCAGACAAATATCTACTAATTCTGTATAAAGTATATTTAATGTATTGGTGAAATTTTTCCAAAGGAAGCAACTGCTTTTAAGTTTTAGAGGTATTGTGGAATCTTTAGACATACATTTCATTCCCCATCTGGGGCATTTTAAAGCTGTCCATTCAACTGTTCATTTCAGTCACTGGGAAACCACAGAAAAACTGCTCACAAAACATCTCTACAAAGTTTTCCTGAAATGCTATCATTTTTAAAAGAGTAATAGTTTTATTGTTATTGTGAGGAATAGCAAAAACTCAGATGTAGCAGGAATTAGAGATATCTGAGCAGCAAGAATTACTAGAAATTTCTTCAGTTACATTTATGTATGTTTGTATTTTTCACCAAGCTAATAAGTTTTCACAGTATATTCTACCTGCAAATATCATAACGCACTGGAGAGTATTTAGTGCTGATTTAGAATGCAAATTCTTGAACAATTTGCATTAATTTTAATGATACAGTGTAGGTACAAAATACTGCAAAATTTAGATGGATACAATGCTCAACATTTCCAGGGGTGGGATAGTACAAAAAAAAAAAAAGAAAAAAAAGAAAAAAGAAAAGAAAGAAAGAAAGAAAAAACACAGAAACTTTTCAGGCTCAGAGCCTAAATTGCCATACAACGCCTGGTGGCTAACACACATTGAGATAAAAAAAAAAAAAATGATTTTGGATGATGGATCTTTCAACCCAGTAATTCTACAAAGTGGCCTATTGACACATAGTTTTGAGTACAGTGTAGTGAGATTCTATGTCTCCTTAATATTATTCTGATATTCTGAAATTCATGATTCCTGATGATCCTTGAGTTGTTTTTGTTTTTATGAATTTATCTATTACATTCTCTTTTTGAGATATATTAGATTCCATGTAGGGTGTCAAATACAGAGTATGATGTAAAGGGAGTTGCACGAAATGGCAGAAAGGACATTAATTCCGTGTCCTTTCATAAGGTTAACATAATAATGCGGCATATTGGCTGAGCGGTGCTGTTTCATGCCTTCAATTCCTCACTCAGGAGGCAGAGGCAGGTAAATCTTTGAGTTTGAGGCCAGCCTGCTCTACAAAGGACAGGAAAGGCAACAAAGAAAAACCCTGTCTCAAAAAAAAAGTGGACATACTGATTTAAGAATCTAATAAAGTTAATTTCTATGATGCTTTATATAACTTTAACATTCATGAGGCTCTTAAGACTTAAATAACTTTGTAAAATAGGTGTTTCTTTCAGCTGCCATCTAGACAGTGAAGAAACTGAAGCTCAGATCAGCACTTCAAGTCCAGTCTCCAGGGCAATAGTGTGAGTCAGCAGAAGGGGTTTTTACTTTAGTGATTTCAGACTGTTTGGTGGGAGGAAGGATTATGCTTGGTTGTTCCCTCACAGTTTTGTGTGGTGTATGATACATAATGTGTGGAAAATAGAATTTCTTCATTCACTAAATTAAATAAAAGTATTAGATTAGAGATTGAGCTATCCCTTTTATTAAGCATGTACTTGTGTCAGACACTGAGCTAGGTACAAGGGAGAGATATGATTAATAGACTATCCAACCTCAAGTTTCTCATAGTCTGTTTTCCCCTGTGTACTAAGAACAACCAGCTGATCTGCTCAGTTTGGAACCATTTGCCAATGTCAGTACATCAGTGAGTTCTTTACACTCATGGCATTCATGCGTCTAAACTACTTGAGACCTTGGCACCTAACCCACTAGTTAGCAGTTAGGAAGACAATGGCTGAACACCACAGATCCAAACCAAATTATCTCTACTCTAGGTATTGTATAAGACACAGATGTTGACGATTCTAAATTGAGAAGAACAAAAGGAGTGGCTTTTTCACAGTTAGTCATCACCAAATGTGGCATAATATTTCCACTGAAATTATTGTGTTGAAAATACCAGAGGCCTGTTTGATGAGATGTGTCATTACTGCTATAACATATTGTGATGGAATCATTTACCAGTTATTCAGAAACATGGAGACAATTTGTTAAATAAGTGAACGAGTTTTGGTTCTGAGACATTATAATGCCTACAGACATTATTTGTCAATAAACACTGTTTATGATATTTTTTTCCTATGTGAAAGCCTCCCAGCAGAATGAGTAAAAGGAGGAGACAGAGCACAGTGCATGGTTTACAAGGGAGTCAGTGTGGAGGTTAGTGTGAAACACCCATGTTCAAGAAGGAAGAAGATTGTGATAGGACATGAGAAAGCACTGAAGGCAAATATGGATGATTTGTTGTACAAAATATATAACCACATATCTTCCTAGAAGAATAGTTTGCTTTACTGTTGAGACAGGTATTGTGATGGGAAAGTTACTTATATTCTGGGCATCTGCTTTTTCTCAGTAAAACAAGGATAATAATATCTAACCTGCAAGATTTATGGAGATAAAAGGTAGCTTGAATAAACTGCAGAGTATGGTAACGCTTATATCCTGGTATTAAGTAAACAACTCTCACTGTTACTGCTTTGTATTAAGATATTATCTTTGCCCCCTGGTGGCAGTCATTCAACACAGAGCTCTGTGATTGTGCTTAATCCACTTACTGGATGTAGAATCAAAGGGCAGGTATTACTGGTGAATATCTAGGCTTAGTTCCAGGCTTCCTGTTTGGTTTTCATATCATGGTGAGTCACACTTTCACAACATACTATTGTGTGTCTACTACTTAGGATTCTTTTAAGGGTTTGAAGGAAGTGACCAGGACAATCACAGCTCTGTGTTCATACTACCTTTAATTGGTTAAGATTCGGTTAGGAAGGCAGAGCCCTTGTAACTGCATGTGGAAATAAAGGATTTACAGAATATTCCACCAACACAAAGGAGGATCTTGGTAATAAACATCTTGTTGAAGAAAACTGGCATATCTGAGAATCACTAATCAATCTGGCTAGAGCACTGTGTGGGTAGACAAGCAGAGACTCTCAGAAAATTTATGAAGTCCAGTGTCTTCCTGACAAGGGCTTTCAAGTTTGGGTGGTAGAAAGGTCTTTGGTGAACCAGAGACTTCTCGCAGCTCTGAGTTCACTAGGTCTCACACAGGCATCAGGTGGAGGGTCAGTGAAGTCAGCAGGGGGAAAAACATGGAGTCAGGAAAAATGAGGTCAATGTAGAAACACATTGGGTGTTCAAACTTGTTGACTCCTATTCTACCTATCTCTGACAAACCTCATCTATCATTCTACAGAATGTTGGGTCAGCTTTCACTCTGAATGATAAAGTTACATACTTTAGGCAAACTGACTTAGCAGAGTCTAGTCCAGCATAGTCCTTGCCAACACAGCTTTCATAATCACTCATGTCTGCCATGTTTCCTTTGAAGTAGTTGCTGCAAACAGAACATCTTTCACCCAAAGCAGATAAAACTGCCCTTTGGATAAAAAACAAAACAAAACAAACAAACAAACAAACAAAAAAAAACCAACTGCTGATCTTCTCTCCCAAAGAGGACACACAAAGTAACTTGTCCATCTTTGGGAGGTGCTCGTATCTCTTTCATCTGGCCAATGCAACGTTTAAATACCCTATAAAATTAACTCAGAAATACATTTAGGAAATAATGTTCCTTTTTGTCAGTTACCGTTCTGTTAAAGGAGCTCACTAGTCAGGTGGACCTTCTGGAAGGGGGTACAGTATTTTGCAAAGTCTGTACCATGATACACTCCAGAATGGCTTCTAATTCATTTTTTGTGCACTTCTGTATCTCTCTATACTCTGGTATGTGTGAATCGTCACTTTCTGGGTATTTACACACTTTGATTGAACAAACTTCTTACGAGATCTTAATGAAGATGTACTGCTGTTTAGATAGATTAATTGCTGATTATAGAAGTTTTGATTTGATTTAAATAGTTTTAATAGTTAAATTGTTTTAGAACTTCTTAAACAAGTATAGAAAGTTTATGGCTGCAATAGATACCTTTGTGGACTTTCAGATGCCTCACTAGTAGACAAGCTTAAGGCAGACTTGTAGCCTCATATAGCCTTTACTCACGAACCCTGGTATACACCATAAACATGAGCAAGTTGGTTTAAACTTCCCATGAACCCAAATTATAATTAGCAACGTCTAATTAAGCACAAACCTAGATGTCATTATATACAAACTCTTCTGTTGTAATTACTTATACTTTGTCACCCTATGGCATTAAATACTGTCATTTTAAATCTACTCTGTTTCTTGGAATGAAAGACAGAGAATATTGTCACCCCAGAGATAGCTGAAAAGTGTAGAGCCAAGTCAGGCCTAATTGAAAAGACACGTATTCTTGTAACTTTTAGACCCTGTTAAGCTTTAGGTCTTGTCAAACTTTGTCACTCTGAACTCACTATGAACTTATGTAATGGACACATAGATAAGAGATGTTTAGTTTTAAAACACATAACCTGTTGTATTTTCAAATTCATCCGTTTTTGAGGTTAACTGCCTTTTTGACTATGAGGTAATTTCTTTTCTGGGAGCTTTGTCTGAGAGGTACAATAAACAGTGGCAGAGGAAGA